ACCCCACCCGACCGACTGGGGCAGGTGGCAGCAGGACGGGCTCCGAAATGGCGCCATTCGGGGAGGGGAGGCCGCACGAGGGTCCGATTTGAATGTTTCTCGACCCAGAGACAAACTTGGCCCTTTCCGGGCCCCACACTGCCCCCTCCCCGCGGCGGGGCCAGGAGCCGGCCCGGGGCGCAGGCCACGCTGCAGAGCGGGCTGGGGGGGGAGAAGCCGACTGCAAAGGGGAGTGACGAGCTCCGAAATGGCGCCATTCGGGGAGGGGAGGCCGCACGAGGGTCCGATTTGAATGTTTCTCGACCCAGAGACAAACTTGGCCCTTTCCGGGCCCCACACTGCCCCCTCCCCGCGGCGGGGCCAGGAGCCGGCCCGGGGCGCAGGCCACGCTGCAGAGCGGGCTGGGGGGGGAGAAGCCGACTGCAAAGGGGAGTGACGAGCTCCCCAGGCCCGCGAGAGTCCCAGGAAGGAGGCACCAGCTCAGTGCACCCCCAGCACCGCAGGAGATACTCACAGGAGGTCCAGCGCTACCACGAGCACCTTTGGGTCCAGGAGCACCAACAGCACCCTGCAGGAGAGGAAGGAGCCCCCATCAGAGGCGGGAACGGGAGGCGGGCCGCAGGGGAGGGATCAGGGCAGGGGAGAGTCACTTACAGAGGGGCCAGGAGCACCAGTAGGTCCAGCAGGGCCTGGGGGACCAGCATCGCCCTTAGCACCAGAGTCGCCAGTTTCACCTTTAGCACCAGGTTGGCCGTCAGAACCCTGGGGGAGAGCAGAGCGGAGGGTGAGGGGCAGTGTCCATGCGCGGGGCTCCTGGAGACGGGTCCGTCACGGAACAGCCGGGGCTGAGACGAGGCCGGATCAGGCCAAGCCAGGGACTCCCGGGGCAGGGAGGATCCCAGACACCCCCCAGTATCTCCTGGGTAGCACTGCTTCCCTCCCGTAGCCCCCAGCCTGCCCCACGGACACCAGCCCCCCATCTGAGGCCAGCCAGGATCCTACTTACAGGGGGGCCAGCGAATCCAGCGGGACCAGGGGGGCCGGGCTCACCACGATCTCCCTGGAAGAGAAGGGCGGGAGAGAGACAGGTCAGCGAGGCGAGGGAGGGGCTGAGCTCTGCCGGACAGGCCTCGGTGTGCACGTGGTGGGGGTGTGTTCTGTGGTGTAAAGCGACTGTTGGCCGAGTGTGGCCAGGCCCGGACAGGCCTCGGTGTGCACGTGGTGGGGGTGTGTTCTGTGGTGTAAAGCGACTGTTGGCCGAGTGTGGCCAGGCCCGGACAGGCCTCGGTGTGCACGTGGTGGGGGTGTGTGCTGTGGTGTAAAGCGACTGTTGGCCGAGTGTGGCCAGGCCCGGACAGGCCTCGGTGTGCACGTGGTGGGGGTGTGTTCTGTGGTGTAAAGCGACTGTTGGCCGAGTGTGGCCAGGCCCGGACAGGCCTCGGTGTGCACGTGGTGGGGGTGTGTTCTGTGGTGTAAAGCGACTGTTGGCCGAGTGTGGCCAGGCCCGGACAGGCCTCGGTGTGCACGTGGTGGGGGTGTGTGCTGTGGTGTAAAGCGACTGTTGGCCGAGTGTGGCCAGGCCCGGACAGGCCTCGGTGTGCACGTGGTGGGGGTGTGTTCTGTGGTGTAAAGCGACTGTTGGCCGAGTGTGGCCAGGCCCGGACAGGCCTCGGTGTGCACGTGGTGGGGGTGTGTTCTGTGGTGTAAAGCGACTGTTGGCCGAGTGTGGCCAGGCCCGGACAGGCCTCGGTGTGCACGTGGTGGGGGTGTGTGCTGTGGTGTAAAGCGACTGTTGGCCGAGTGTGGCCAGGCCCGGACAGGCCTCGGTGTGCACGTGGTGGGGGTGTGTTCTGTGGTGTAAAGCGACTGTTGGCCGAGTGTGGCCAGGCCCGGACAGGCCTCGGTGTGCACGTGGTGGGGGTGTGTTCTGTGGTGTAAAGCGACTGTTGGCCGAGTGTGGCCAGGCCCGGACAGGCCTCGGTGTGCACGTGGTGGGGGTGTGTGCTGTGGTGTAAAGCGACTGTTGGCCGAGTGTGGCCAGGCCCGGACAGGCCTCGGTGTGCACGTGGTGGGGGTGTGTTCTGTGGTGTAAAGCGACTGTTGGCCGAGTGTGGCCAGGCCCGGACAGGCCTCGGTGTGCACGTGGTGGGGGTGTGTTCTGTGGTGTAAAGCGACTGTTGGCCGAGTGTGGCCAGGCCCGGACAGGCCTCGGTGTGCACGTGGTGGGGGTGTGTGCTGTGGTGTAAAGCGACTGTTGGCCGAGTGTGGCCAGGCCCGGACAGGCCTCGGTGTGCACGTGGTGGGGGTGTGTTCTGTGGTGTAAAGCGACTGTTGGCCGAGTGTGGCCAGGCCCGGACAGGCCTCGGTGTGCACGTGGTGGGGGTGTGTTCTGTGGTGTAAAGCGACTGTTGGCCGAGTGTGGCCAGGCCCGGACAGGCCTCGGTGTGCACGTGGTGGGGGTGTGTGCTGTGGTGTAAAGCGACTGTTGGCCGAGTGTGGCCAGGCCCGGACAGGCCTCGGTGTGCACGTGGTGGGGGTGTGTTCTGTGGTGTAAAGCGACTGTTGGCCGAGTGTGGCCAGGCCCGGACAGGCCTCGGTGTGCACGTGGTGGGGGTGTGTTCTGTGGTGTAAAGCGACTGTTGGCCGAGTGTGGCCAGGCCCGGACAGGCCTCGGTGTGCACGTGGTGGGGGTGTGTTCTGTGGTGTAAAGCGACTGTTGGCTGAGTGTGGCCAGGCCCGGACAGGCATCGGTGTGCACGTGGTGGGGGTGTGTTCTGTGGTGTAAAGCGACTGTTGGCCGAGTGTGGCCAGGCCCGGAAGCAGCCTGGCCCGGCCT